TTTTTGCTTTTTGCAATTCTGTTGCTAGTTTATCTAACACTTATATATAGTCAATTTTTGTTACTACTTCTTCATTTAACTATGTATATTGTTGTCTTGTTAGGTACATATCTCTGTATATGTTACTAAAATTTTGTTTTTTCATCTAATTAAAAATTGGCAGTCTTTTGTAGTTTGCTGTTTGTAGATGTTGTCTGTCTAGTACATTGTTCACTATATGATTAAAGTTACCCATTATGACTATTTGTATTCATTTTTTTCTTTTTAGAACTGTTTCTACAATTTTTTGTTAAATGCTCTTTTCCATTATCTTGTCATTTGGTAATATATAAATCAAGATTATTATTAACTCTAATTGCTTAAATTATAGTATAATTTCTATCATATATTTGCTTATTTTTTTAACTGCACCTATATGTTTTTCCTATTGCTTATCTATTAAAATTCCAACATCTGATCTTTTTTTCTTATTTTTTGATACATTTATCTAGTATTTTATATATCTGTTATTTGCAATATATATTGAAAATTTTCTTTCTCTTTCTGTAAGATTTGTTTCTATAATTCTCAGTATCATGATTTTTTCTTCTTCTGCTTAGCTTAGCAGATTTTCAAGTTTTCAGTCTTTAGTTTTGAGTTTGTTAATATTATGACATGCAATTTTAATTTTTTTTTTTCTTTTTTTTAATTCTTTTTAAATTGTTCTTGCACTGTTTCTGTATTTTTAAACCTTTTTTCCTACTTTTTGTTTTCTTTATTCTCAAAACTAGAAGATATTTCTTTTTTTTTTTCTTCAAATATTTTTCTTTCTCTTTGCAAAAAGTCTTCAATCTCCTTGTCTATATTCTTGAGTTCAACTGAGGCATCCTTAGAAGCAGTTGGCTAGGCCTTCTTTTGTATTTAGATGTATATTTTCTAATCTGTTTAGTCTGTCTAAAATTTGACCTAAAATATCTTTGACTTATCTGGTTTTTGGTTGAGATTGTGTATCTAATTTCATCTTTATTTCTTTTAAGTTTTCTTCTTTTTCTTTTATGCTGATATTTCTGTCTCCAACTATTCTCTAATATTCTGTAATTAAGAATTACTTTTTATTGTTATGTATCTTCTGTTTAAGTATTAACTAGTTCTATTTCAGCTTTTTTTTTTTCTTTCTTTATCACTTTCTTCTTTTCTTTTTTTTGCATCAATGTTTCTATCTTCTAACCATTCTTCTATGTTTTGTATTTGAGGATTATTTCTTATTTCTTCATATTCTTTTTATAAGTTTTACTAGTCCTATCTCAGCTTCTTTCTCTTCTTTTTCTAGAGCTTTATTTTTTTTTTATTTTTTTTGTTTTTTTATTTATCCAGTATATTCAAAAGTTGTTATATATAATTAATTTTAACTGAGTTGTTTTTATCTCTCTTTCTGTTATAAATGTAATTATTGTAATTTTTCTTTGATTTCTATTTCTGTTCAGTAGGATATAAACTGATTTTGCATCTTTGTTTTTTAAACACTGTAACAATAAAATCTCTGAGATATTACTTGGTAGTTTTGTTAATTTTGCTATATACTGCCTTTGCTTTTGTCTTGCTTCATAGTTTTTCTCTTTTTCTGTTACTTTTATTAGTTTATTACTGCTAACTGATATAGACTATAAAGTGCTTTCTTCTTATATTTTTTCTATTTGAATTATTGTGAGAGACTTAAATTTGAGTTTCTTAATTCTTGCTACCTGTACTTTTTTAAATTTTTTGCAAATATATTCTAGTTTTTTTCTATTTATACTTGCTAGCAAGTTCTAAATTATTATGAAATTTTTATCTTTTATTTCTTTATTATTAATATCTTTTTGGTCTTCTTTTAATTTCTCTTTATTTCTTTCTTTTCTATATTTTTTCTTTTTGTATTTTGATATATTTGCTCTTTTACTTTGATATTCTTTCTTATACTTCTTTTGCTTCTTTCTTCTTTGTCTTTCTCTGATATCATTTTGTACTAGTTGTTTTCTTTTTTACTAATTTTTTATATCATCTCATTTTTGCTATATTCACAGTCAAAATTCACTTCAATCCACAAATTTTCTTATTTAAAACTTCTCTAATATCCTTAATATATTTATTATCTTTTAATGACTAGCTAATGAACTTTATACATTCTTCTTTCATCTCTTCAGACACATTGTGTGCAAGTATATTGGCTAATAGATTGCTGTTTTTACTGCAATTTCTTTTGTTTGATATCTATATACTTTTTTCTAAAGAAATTTCTACTATATTTATTTCTCTCTTGACTTTTTGTTTTCTTCTCTTTTCTCTTTTTTTTTTTTTTTTCTTATGTTGTTGAACCTTATCTTGATTCTTTATTATCTATTTCTATGTCATCTTATTTTGTTTCTTTTGTTTGTTCTTTTCTAGTTTTTATTATCTATACTAACAATTTTTCTTCTATTTGATTTATGTTTTCAAAACTTACCTCTGTTTTTATTTTTTTTATTGTCAAAGGATTCTTATTCAGAAGTCTTTTTTTGGTTGTATCTTCTTTTTTTATTTTTTTTTAATTTTTTGGTCTTCTTCATATATGTTTTCTTGCTCTTTCTTTTTCTTTATTGCTTCTTGTTATATTAATTTTTCTTTCTTTTATTTATTTTTTTCTTTGAGCTTAATTGCTATCATGTTTCTGTCTTGTTCTGTGAATCTAACTTCTTTTTTAACTGTTCTTTTTCTGCTTTTTTGATTAATTCTTTTATTATTCTTAATAATATAACTTTTTCTAGTTTTTGTTTTGTAAATATTGCAATAATCTTATTTTTACTGTTTGGCATTATGTATGTCTTACTTGACTAATTGAAGAATATTTTGTTATGTATTCTATTCATTATTCAGTATATCCTTTTTATAAAAATTGTTAATAGACTTTCTTTATATTCTTTTAGTTTGATATTGTACTTATGTCTATGTGTTTTTGATTGGTTCTCCAAATTTTCTATTTACTTTGTTTTTTTTTATACAAATTTTATTTATTTGTTGTGTAATCTGTTTATCTATTCTAATTTGGTAGTTTGCACATGTTTGTTTTTGTTTTGCTATTTTATGTTTCTGTATCTTTATTTTGCATACTATTAAGGTTTTTAATTTTATACTTATTATTTTTTTGTTTCACCAAATTACTATAAATACAGTATTACAGTTCTTTAAAGATAATTTTTTTTTTTTTTTTGGATAAATTCATGTTAACTGTATTATAATCTTTGATGTTTTTTAAAATTCATTAAACTATTTCAAAAATGCCTTTTTTATTATTAATATTTATAAATAAATTAATGATAAATCATCCAATTTTCATGTTTTTTGCAGTAACTGTTGATTCTAATTCATCATAATTTTTAATTTGATATTTATAACTTAATAAAAGTATTTGTTAAAGTAGAACTGATAAATCTGATAAGTTATTAAAAACCTAAATATTATATTTAATATAATGATAACTAATTTAATAAAAAAATTTTGAGTTTTATTATTGATCAACCTGTAATGAATTTTGCATTATGGATAAGTTAAATAAATTTGAATTTTAAATTTTTGTAATTTATTATTATATAAATATTGAAATTTATATTTTACAATAATAAATTAATTGTACTCATCACAATACAAACTTGTAGCAAACTTTGCATTTTTATTATAAGATGTAAAAAATCTTTATTCGCTTTATGCAAAATAGCAAGAACGACCATACAATTATTAAATCAAAATCGGTCCGATTTTGATCTCCGGAGAATCAGCCACTATGGCGCACTAACCGAGTACCCTTATGTCAAGAAAATCCCGGGCTGAAGATCGCTGAAGATCACTTCCGACCCTATCCGGATCCAATAAAATCACAGGATCTCGTGTAACAAAACAAACGCGAAAAACATAAGAAATTGTAAAAAAAAAACGCAAAATAACACAAAAATTTACTATGATAACTAACTTCCGACCTCTAAGTAAAAGTTTTCAGAATGAAATTTTATTTATAAAACATGATAGTTAATGTTGGATATATAGTGAATTTTTGATGTACTACGACCCATATCTTTTTGGCCGTCAGCTCGGGATTTTCTTGACATAAGGAAATTCGCACCAACTTGGTACGTACGTACACATTTTCTTTTTGCAAATTTTGCACTAAGAAAATACCGTCATGAATCATAATGAAATCAGATTAAAATGAAATTTAGAGCTTCTATTTAACCTCCTAAAACCCGTACTTACACATTATCTGAGTATCATTAGAGTTGTACTATCTTAAAAAAGATATTAATACGATGAGTTTGAGAGATAAATATCGACATCCGTTGTAAAATATTTGAAATGTAAAAAGAAATTCCATACAGCAATAAAATTTCTGGGTTTCACCACAAGAAATCATTTTCACGAAAATATAATAGTGAAAATAAGATTATTTAATAAAATGAAGTTATAAGTTTTTTTTTCATAGAACAATTAAGTATGAATCTAATAAAACTATCAAATAAAAATACATAAATCTTGAGTTATCAAAGTTTATATTTACAATAAAATAATAGATGACAATTCACTGGTAAATTATTCTACTTTTAACCTAATGGAAAATGACCCAAATTGATTTGTTTCAATAAATAAAAATAAGATAGATTATCTATCTACAGTATCTAATTTTCATAAAGTCTATGAATGCTACTATCCTATCATTAATGGCGTTAAATATAAATTAAAAGTTATATATAATATAAAGTTCATCATCGTCAAGAAAATAGTAAAGGAGTCTATACATAATAATTGCATTTAAAGAGACTATGAAAATTTTCCAATACTTTTTTATAATTTCCTTATAAACACAACATGTCCAAAGGAGATGAAACCCTAAAAATATTATCATAACAAGTTCCGATTCACGTGTAAATTGATTCCAACGCTTATATGATAAATATACGCAAAGATAACAAAGATAGAATATTGGAACAACAAAGCAATAAATGAAAAAGGAGAACATATTCGGATATGTCTTCTCTCCATCATATGAATGTTCTGGATTATGTTCCTCAAATAGTTCATCGTGTGTATATTGCAAATTTTTATGTTCAATTAGTTTATCATTTGGGTATTGTAGATAATCTTCAATTAATTTATCATTTGGGTATTGTAGATAATCTTCAATTAATTCTGATTCCTTCCATCGTTTATCAATTGCAGTCTCTCGAATCGATTTTAAAAATGGATTTAAATCGTTAACTAATTGTTTGTAAATAAAGCAAATTCTTGGTTCTTCAATTGTCATCATATCCTTTTCGAGTTTTTCCAAAAGTTTACTGGTCGTATATACCATAATTAACCAAATATCTGCATCTTCTTGTGTAGGTTTCTTTTTTCCAAACTCCAAAAATGGATCAATTCCATTTCGTAAATGGGTTTGCAACATAACTATATGTTCAATTGTGTCTCCAACTCCATACAATATCGAAACTTGTTCTTCAATAATTGCACGAAAAGATGATTTTCTACTACTTTTGAATCTCTTTAACCATCGGAATATATTTTCAGGATAAAATGAAAATTCTGATTCAGTTTCGTGGATATTTGATGTACCAATTTCACATTCAATTTTTTTCGTTCCATACGCCCAATACTTTCCAGCTCTATCAACCTCATCCATCAATTGAGCGAGCATAAAACTTAGTAATGAACTTGCTTGTAAATTCTTAAAACATCCATTCTTGGAGATTATTAGTTCTCGACCTTTAAAATATATTGGCAATTCTGAAAGTCTATTCGATTCTAGCTTACGGAGAAGTCTTTCCACATGTTCTAGACTGTTTTCGAGATCGCTAACTGATAGATTTTTATATCCGATGTTTTCCAACTTTAAAAGAATTTTAAAAGCGAATAAAGTGTAAAGGTAATATGGAATGTTTTTGTAATGTTTTTCGAACCAGCGATAGAATTTTTGTGACACTTTCATCTTTTTTTTGATTAAATTTGGTAAAGTAGGTGGATGTTTCTTTTTTGGATGTAAAGGGAAAAGAAAAATTGAGAGAACAAGTTTTATCAAAAAATTCTAGAGATGAGAGACTAACACTTTTGTAGATTATATAAAAGTTTTAAGAAAACGATTCGACGTATTATTTAATAACCTGAAAATCTATTATCTGTCACCACATGCATTTTTCAATGTAATCGAAAAAAAAACTTTTTTAAATCATTTAGTTCATTGTTGTATTGTTCATTTATTTATCTATGGCTATCAATGGATTCTAATGTCATCCAACATGTCAATCGGTATATAAAATAACAGTATTATGTAAAAAATTATTACATTAGTAAATTTCAGACTTATCAAAAATTTTACGAACAATACATACATATCATTTGCGTGGTAATTTTATATAACGATAATGGATTATTCTTATAAGTAAATCTTATGATGCATCTCCTAATAAACAATTGCAAGTTCTTATCCATTGATTAATCCCTGCTTCCAAAGATACATTATTTATTATTCCACAATAACCAAAGTACGTTGGTACATACTTACTATTAGTGGAAGAGTATATATGCATTATCAAAGTTTTTCACTTTTAAAATGTGCATTATATAAATTAGTGGTATCGGTATTTCATTATAAAAAAAGAGAATATCAAGAAATTTTACGAATTTCGTAATAAATTGAAAATTTCCCGACTCAAGAGCTTGAAAAATAAGTTTTTACTCTCTTTGTACGGATAGGTTGTATAAAGAACACATTAAATTGGCCTCGTCACAAAGGTTTGGATTTTTTTTTCTTTTCAAAGTTATCGAAGACGTAATTTATCTAATAATTGAATTCAAATTCGAGTTCTGAATTACTATCTAATGATTTTTCACGAAGATCTAAGTTCTGAAATGTTTAATCCAATGTTTAGTACGGTGCTGATAGTTTAGCTAACGTCAGAATGGAAGTACTATAAAATCAAATTTTTTTATGGCTTAAGAGTCTTTACGAAATATTTTTTGTTATTATGATTTTATAAAAGGAATATATGGACTTCGCAAACCCATTAAGTGCACCTCATTCTCGTTCGATTATAATAATAAAAAAATTATTTATTAATCTGTTATTTATAACTCGAACTTTTTTTTATTTATTTACAGTATTATAATTATAGCAATAGGAACAAAATTATATAAGAAAATTCTCAAAACTTGCATGAGTGAAAGTATTACTTTAGATCAGGGTGTAGAGATCGGATTATCCGGGTAAATTATTATATATTTTGAGTAATCATATAGCAACAATTTCTACTCCCTATCATGGTGAACCCGCTTTTGAAATTCGTGTTAGTCTTTTTATATGTTTTTAACGCGAATTACACCATGTGATCTGCATAGCACCATCAGTATTTTTATAAAGTAAAAAAAAAAAAATACTGGACCCCATTATCGATAATTTTATTGAACAATCTCACATAGTTTTGATCAAAGTGTTCAGCTATTTCTAGTACTTAAAGTAGAATCACAAAAACAACCAAGCTGAATTCGATAAAAGTTTTCTTATTTTATTTTATAAACATAGAATTAAAATTCTGGTCGAATTTTGTTGTGGTTGTCGTAATATCGTTAGTGCTATTTAGATACTAGAAATAGTTGGACATTCGGTTTTAATTAATTAATCAAATGTTATAAATACAGGTTATATATATATATTTTATCGACTTTATTTATCAATAAAGAACCTTCATCCTATTCTTGCAACAATAAAATATAATACATGAAAGGAAAAAGACTTGTAGAAATTGGAGAAAATGAATAGAAATTATTGATACAGAATTATTAAGTAAATTTCTAGATCTTTTAGAAAATGTGTTATCGAATACATTTTAATTGTAAAGCGATGACTAACAAGGGTCGTAATTTAATCTGATTTCTTATTTTAAAATTTCATTGAATATTCAGGCAGTTCGTTTATTGAAATCCTTGCATCTAGGAAGCATCAGTCTGTTCGGTCCAGTCCCGATTTAATAGTATTTGCGATTATCAAAACGAACCTTTTAGAAACACATTAATGAGGCTACTATAATCTTTATGAAGACAGTCTTAAACCGGTCTATAAATCGTTCCCAGTTCCAGACCTGTACAGCACAAGTCTTTTGTAAGACCGATGCAAACACCTAATACTCAATAGATCCGATTTATCGTTTTTTAATTAATATTGATATTTGAGTTAGATCAAGGTTAAAGATAGTCGCCATTAGCTGCAGTAGAAGGTCAAAGGTAGTTACCTTTTCACGTCATTCTTTTTACGACATATAAAATTTGGGCATAACGTCAATACGTCACTATTTACGTCATGCTATATGTTAATTGATATGCGACTTTAGGTGAAACTAATTTTCAATTCAACACAAGTTTCGCAAATAGTATTGAAATTTTAATTTCATCAGCATCTTTACTAAAGGGTCTATATAAATAAAAATGTCTTTCTGACATTTTCTATTAATTCCTCAAGATGGATTTAGACTTACCATTTACAGTTTTTTTTTGTCATTTTCTCGTTTGTTTTCATAAAAAATATGATAGGTATCAAACCATCTTAGGTGCGTTTGATAATAAATGTTTATTTATTTATTTCAAAATGGTTTAAATTTTACTCCAAGCTATTATTTTTTGCTCATGCTAGCAGATCTGTACTATTTAATAAATAATATTTTATAGATTTTATAACAAGGTCTAAAACTTACAAAAGCATAAACTTTAGGATTATTAGAACAAAGAAACCTTGTTTTAAAATTTGATGTGTTATTGAAACATCTAAATATCTTAAATATTATTTGACTTAACCAAAGTCAAGTAGAAAAATCAAAGAAAAAAAAATAGTTCAATAGGTTAATAGAGATTTAAGTATTAACAAATTCCATAGGAAACTTTCGTATGATTGGCTGTTTATATCAATTATTTATACTTCTAAAAAAATAAAAAAATACGAAGAATAAACAAAGAAGAAAGTTTTATTAGGGTTGTAGGACTCCACTATTAAAAATAATCAAGATCTTTTTTTGTTTTAGAGAAGTTAAGAAGTCGCTATTATGCTAACTTCTCTAAAACCAGAAATGATTTTGATTATTTTTAATGGTTGAGTCCTACAACCCTAATAAAACTTTCTATATACTTCTTATTTGTTTATTCTTCGCAGTTTTATCTTTTTTAAAAAGTACTTTAAACTGATCACGTATTTAGAATCTTGAATAATATTGTATGCAAAAAAAAAAAAAAAAACCCATAAAATATAGCTCTTTGAGGTTTCCATGTCATCACTCTATATTTTATTCCAATTATTTATTTGTTAGCACAAAATCTCTACCGTAAATCAGGCATTGGCGTTATTCGTGCCAAAATTTGAAATAGCGCTATGCCTGCCTGTTTAACAATTACGCATAAAGGCAACAGTTAGCAAAATATCTAAAGATTGATGAAAAAAATTGCTACAAAGTTTAAATTTAATAATTAATGATATTATTTTTATAAAAATAGTTTAATTTTGCTGTTTACAGGAAGCAAACATTTGAAAAGCTGGTGTTGATAGGCTCTCGATATTTTATAAACATAAAAACTAAAGAAAGACTTATTCTTATAATACCCGGTTCACGATTCATATATTAGTTAACTATAAATCGATGTTTTGGTTTATATATTGATTCTTTAATGAATTTGAATTTAAAATACTTAATGTTTTTACTATTCAAAAAATTTGTCAAACGTTCTCAAATAGACAACTTTACAATTCATGTTCATAAGAATTGTTATATGTATGTTCTCTGAGAACACTAAAAACAAAATTTAAAATATTGATCATATTTACCCGCTTTACGCGTATCCATCTATTCTCAATTATATTGGTAAATTCTTTTGCACGTGCTGTATTTATTAGTTTTATATAAAAGTTTTTTTTTCGTATCAGAATGATGAAATTATGTAATTTGATTGGTTAATTATCACGGGCAATCATCGGTAGATTTATAAAAATTAGCCATTGGTCTATCATATTTGATTAACATTTTTGCATCAGAACATATTTTTTAAATCGGGAATGCAACGAACACTTGCAGTGTTAGCACGATCTGCGTGGAAAGGTATTTCTTAGAACTAAACTAAGTGGATTATGATTTGTAATGTTGAATTTGCCTTGTTCTATCAATATAATAGGTCCATTTTTTGTAAAGCTTCCCGAACTTCGTCAAGCTCAAACTACCGGACAAGCTATAAAAACCACAGCTCGTTCATGTACAATATTACCAATATTTGTAGGGCTGAAATTTTTAGTACATAATGGCAAAGATTATATACCAGTTACGGTCACTGAAGAAATGGTTGGACATAAATTGGGTGAATTTTCACCGACTAGAAAGAAGTTTTCATTTAGGAAAACGAAGAACAAGTAATCTGAGGACAATATAACTTTGGCTGAAAGTGATGGAAAGTAATTTGAAATAGAGAAAATTAATTAATCCTAAAAAAATTTTTTTATAAATTTAAATTTTAAATAAAAAAATTATACTATAATGATTATTGTTTTTTTAAAAAAAAAAAACCAAACAAATAATATTAAATACTAAAGTTATTTGAGTTTTCTAAAGAGGCGGCTTGTACTTTCAACGTCTAACACAAGCTTGCCTGAAAATCAAACGAGATAATGCTGTTCATTTGAGATCCGCGTGTAAATGAAACTTCTACTGTCATCGGAGTGAGACAACTCCAAGTTTGTTGAAAATGTTAGCAATGAAAGGAGTACGAAGAATAATAGTGTTCGGAAATTAACGGAACGATGTTTGTGCATAATTCCGGAATTCCGCTGAAAAGCAGAAAATCCGCTTGAGCAGAATGGTTGATAGGCACAAAATTCTGGTTTAACTCGCAGTAAACTACTAGCAGCAGGGGATGGAATAATGTAACAAAATTAGGTTTTATATATCGCTGCAGAATCTACAGTGGAGCCAAATCGACAATTACATCTACATAACGATAACGATAACGATAATGATAATGATTACAGTAGATCGATTTGCTATAATAACGTGATGTCCTGATACTTTGATCTACGTAATAGCATGAAGAAACTTTATTATCACGAAAATCCCGGTTCAAAATTTTTCAAACCACGACCCCCTTATTTGACGAGTTTATCCGAATTATCAAAATGGAAGCCTGAAAATGATGAATTTAACGTTGCAAAGGTCGATTTACGAGAGAGACCTACTTTCAGAAATGACGCCACACAGAAAGAGAAAGATCAAAGAGATTGTCATGTGGTAGTCTGTCATGATATGGCTGGTGGTAAGCTCGACATCTCAATATTTTTTTTAAAAAAAAATTTGAAATACTAATTTGTGCGAATTAGGTTATATTGAGAGTTTCTTCAAAATCGGATACAGCATTCAGTACTGGCAATACATAGATACTTTTATCTAGTAATTATTGTCTTTTTTTTTTAAAAAAAAAATAAAATTCATTGAGTTATTAATATGTTCAATTTAATTATATTTTAATAAAGCTTTTCTCACCACCGAGTTACAATACCACCTCCACAATGGACTAATGCGGCCCACCGAAATGGTGTTAAAGTTTTAGGAACCTTTATTACCGAATGGGCCAGAGATATGCTGGAAAATGAATTGTGGGTACGAGGTCCGCACACACAAGCACCGCTTGATGATCCCGAAAATGTTGATCGAAGGATTGTCAGTACTGTATTTGCAGATAAATTGGGTTAGTTGTTAATGTGATCCTATCATTATTTTAGTTATCCATATACTAATTTTAATCCTAATTATTATTTATATTAAAGTTTCAATGGCTATGTATTATAATTTTGATGGCTGGTTCATCAATATTGAGTCTCCTTTGATTGGTGGTTCTCTCCACGCTTTTCAAGTTATCACTTTTATGAACTATCTTACTCAACAAATGCATAAGCATAAACCTGGATCTGTTGTTCTTTGGTTTGTTGAATACCAATATAAATTTGCAATGACTTTATTCCAATTTCTAATTGTTCATCTACAAAAAGGTACGATTCTATCACTAAAGAAGGAACACTTTCGTGGCAAGACCATTTGAATGATTTAAATTATCCTTTTTTTGATGTAACCGATGGTATTTTTATTAACTACACTTGGCCTGAAGAATATCCCGAGTTATCAGCACAAAAGGCAGGCTCTCGAAGGCGTAATGTTTACACTGGTATTGATATTTGGGGCCGTAATACTTTTGGTGATGGCGGGTGAGTGCTTATTATATTCTAATGTTCGCTTAATTATTTTTTATATTATATAATATCCAACTAATTTTCGGAACAATAATTACTTGCGATTAGATTTAATACATATAAGGTTTTCAACATTTTTTCACTTTTTAGAAATTGGCTTCCATTATTATCTATATTTTTTCCTTTAAACTTTTATCCTTCATCTACCAATAAACTTAGGCACTTAAAGTTATTCAAAAGGCCAAAACATCTTGTGCTTTATTTGCACCAGCCTGGACATTTGAGCATTTAGGAAAAGAAGCTTTCTGGGAAAATGATAAAAAATTTTGGATTGGCAGTGCAGACAAATATGAGGATGTAAAGCCTCAAACAGAACGAGCTTTGGAAGATGAAGGTTAATTTTTTAATTACCATTATGGCAATAAGGTTTATTTTTAATAATCGAACTATCCTTTTGAAAATTAAGGACTTGCTGTTGCACATTACATTGTGCCAAGATACTCACCAGTAAGTTTCTTTCATCTCAATTTTGATATTGAAGTTATAGATTTGACATTTTCTTTTCACATCCAGGGAACCTATAATTTTTATACAAATTTTGACCGCGGCTGTGGGTACAAGTTCTTTATTAAGGGATTGGTAATTGTTTTGTTGATTCTATTTCATGTTCTTTTGTTCAACAAATCATGATATATAATTATATCATGTTTATGATTAGAACGTTCTGGAGCAAGAGTGGGCACATCTTAGTCATCAATCCGTTCAACCCTTTCCGACAAAGCGTATTTCCAAAGTATCATCAAACAATGCATCCGAAATGACTACTAATAAATCCCATGACGTTGCATGGAATCTAACCTTTGATAAAGCGTATAGTGGTGGTACATCTGTAGTTGTATACACTGCTACTGGACATGATAAAGCAAAAGCGGGAATTTACATGCTGCCACTTTATGATTTGAATGTTGCTATCTCCCCACACGGGTACACAAGAGCAAGGGTTACTTATTTGCCAGAACATCGTGGAATAGTTTTAGGATTGTATTTAAAAATAGGGTTTAATCGAAGGCTCAAAGATGGCAAAAAAATTTCCTTTAACCATGACGCAAAACCTACAAGGAAGGATTCAGAGGATCAGAAAATATCATTCATTACTTTGAACAACGAAAGTTATGCTGATGATAAATATACAGATGAATCCGAAAATCTGAGCATTCCATTACAGAAATTCAAGACAACTATTGTGTCAATGAGCCATAATTGGATAACTGCAGAAGTTTTAATACCACCTAATATATTCTCAATATCTCCAACTAGCTCGGAATTTGATTTAGTAGTACAAGAATTGGGTGTTTCTATAAGTCACTCACCACTCTCTGGAAAACTTGACATAACTCAATCGTCAAATGTATCTACCCTGGTTCACATTGGTCAATTATCTGTTAGTTCAACAACATTACCATTGCGTTTACCTGAGCCAGAAGTGCAAAATGTATTTTGGCAAGATAATACTTTATTTATTGAACATTTGAGTCATCGAGGCATCTTACGAATATCAGGTATTATAGAATGGGAGATGGGTGTCAAAGTTGTTGGGCATGCAAATGAGGATCGTCATATCACACAGGACAACACCGCAGATATAGAAATCCCCAACTCTTTTGGATATTACTATGTATATGCGGAAGTTGATTCAGCATCACAAGGTGGAAAGCCTTCATTTGAAAAGTTGACATTTTTAGGAGTAGCCGATGTTTCGCAGTTTATAGTTTCAGGGTTCGAAATACCAACATCTAAAATTATGGTAGATACAATTTTAACAATCTGGGTACAAGGTGTAAGAGAATCAAACGGAGAAGGAGTGGAATATGAAAAATGGAAAAAATGTTCAATTCCGTTATTTTATTATACTACTAAAGTAGGTGGATTTTGGAAACAGGTTAAAACTATCGTTTTAAAGATTTTAAAAACCTTTATTCCTTGTTGTGGACTAATTTAAATTAAAGCTATCAAATGTGATAATATTATTAATTTAAAAATTGTCATAACATTAGGGACGTGTCAGATGTCAGTTAATGTCAGTGTTATAGGGAGAAGGGATGAAAAATTTAAACTAGATTTTTGGAATCGGTTTTATTCTTCATATGTTAAACCCGATTAAATTCGATTTTAACATATGAAAAATAAAACTGGTTCCCAAACTCAATTTTAACAATCCAAATAGACTAAGGGTGGGTCTTTCTAGACTGATTTTAACTGATATCTGATATGGATTAGAAAAAAACTTCTAGATGCAGTATATTTATTATTTAATAATAGTGGTTAATTCGTTGTTTACCTGTTTTTGACACAATAGTAAAAATTTGATAGCAAAAAATTTAATTTTGAACTATTAGATTTTGTTCTATTTTAAACTTTTAAATAAAGTTGTTGTTTGGTTAAAATATAATATTTTTGAATTGCGTAAAATTTTGATTAAAAATTACAGATTATAATAAAGAATATCACAGTTTATAAATAATATTGTATTTAAAGATTATTCCTCAAACCGTTAGGTTAAGCGTGCAGATTTGTATGCTGAAAGTTTTGAAAGAAAATTGAGCTCTTAAAAAAAATTATAATAAATTTTCGGTTATTAAGACTTTCGAAAACTCAAGTCATATGGCAAACCTCACAGAACACGTCATGTGGCCTGAACAGAAGTACAAACTCACGCGATGGTCAAAAAGTTTGTCATTTTATCTATACTTTTAAGGTATCTTTTCTTTTTAACATTAAGATTACATAAAGATTACATAAAGATGGTTATAATTAGTAAGAATACAATTAGTCACATATACAACTTTAGTTATTGTTTATTTAAGAATTCTGCTTTAAGGTTATTTGTTAGATGTTATATCTAACTCTTACTTGTAGGTGTTCTATTTAAACTTTCTAGCATTTCCATTTAGTATCTATATAATACTAATTTTTTTGTCAAGCTAATCTGCGCTGTTTTTACGAATATCATCCAAGCTTCTTTTTGTTTTTTTTTCTGAATTTGTACATAGGTTATTATTTATTTTAAAGCATATTGCCTAACAGTAGGTTTAGAAAGTTTTTTTATTAACTAATTTACCTATTTTACAGTTTTATTAATAGAGTTATATCGTTACAGAGTTTACCCAAATCTTAGTATCAATTTTATAGCATATTCTCAATACTTTAGTATATCTCTGTTTTGCTTTTAAATTCTTAATTCAAATAATCTAGAAAGATTGTAATCTTTTTCTAGTATATTAAATCTGACTTAATATCTTTTTTTTTAGTCTAAAATTTAATAATTTGGTTAGTAGATTTGTTTATCTCAACAGATTATCCCTTAAACTGTTTTCCAGGCAAATTTGCCTGGATTTTTAAATTAAATTTAGTATTTTTTAAATAACACAATAAATTATTAATAATATAAGGTACAGTTTACTTATAAAATATTTTATTGAAAATATACTTTACAAACTTTATTATAAATTTTTTTTAAAATTAATAAGAAACTTTGAGCAATAAAAATTTAAAGATCTTATTTAAAAATTTTTATTATAAAAAATTTCTTTAAACTTTTCAAGATTTTATATGTTTCTGAAACTAAAAAAAAAATTTCATTCTTAATACAAGTCTAAATTTTTACAAGTAAATTAAAAAAGTTGTATTAATAAAAGTTG